CACACACACACACACACACACACACACACACACACACACACACACACGCGCGCGCGCGCGCTCACAACATACACACCCACTCACCCACTCCTTTATTTCCATCTGCCTTCTTTTCCATACAGCATATTTTTCATTCCAATTTTTCCTGGCCTCTTGATTCAGGTATCCCTTTTTTGCATGTCAGTGAATTAATCACCAGGATCATCTGGTGATGATTTTCTGGAACTAGATGAAAACTTGGTTACTTTGAGAAGCACTCACCAACTCTGCTGAACTCAGCTCTGGGACCCTTGCTTTCTCTGAGTTACAGCCCACTGAAAAGAAACTGATTTTTACCAGTAGAATTTTGCTGTGTCTGAAAGAATCAAGTAAAGAAGCATCTTTTTTCTCCCTTTACCCAAAGGTAGAATGAGATTTATAAACCCCATTAATTAGCTACAAAAGCAAATTATCTCCTAAAAGAAAATTGCAGCATCCAAGGTGATTTAATCACCACGTCCAATTAGAAAGGAAAGTAAATGACTATTTCTTAAAGTATGGCCAGGAAAAAGAAACACTCTTAATGTGCTCTTGTCATCCTTGGAGTTGTAAGTGGTTAATAATCCAAAGAAGCAACTTCTCTAAGTTCGTGATGGAGAAGAGGTCATAAAGCTATAATTTGACACATTTCTGTCTATTTCTTTGCTGTAATGTAGGTTCTTGATGAGACCAGCTGTTTGGTTTATATTTAGTGATTGTTCTTCAGGGAGTAGAGCTAGCTAACTAAATTAAAAATATGTATTATATATTTATATGATGTTGCCATATATATATATATATATATATATATATATATATATGTGTGTGTGTGTGTGTGTGTGTATGTATATATATTCTCACAGATGCACACACATAAACACACACAGAGACATAGTTCATCTTTTTATAGGGTATAAACATTTAGAAACTTTCAAGATAAAAATTATGCTAATTTTTAATAAAATTATTATATATTTATGTTTTTGTTTCTAGGTCCAAGAATTGACCAAGGAATGGACAAACAAGTGGAATGAAACCCAGAATATTTTGAAAGTAAGGGCTGTGAAAAGCATCTTAGTCTTACTGTGTCTCTGTGCTGGCTTAAGGAGGTAACTCTCTTTCTTATCTGAAACATAGCTGTTACATGCTTTGCTTAAGGTAAGGTCAGTGAAGCTGAGTGGGACCTGTGGCCAGGTGGGCCTGTGGTGTCTTTGACGTCCTGGGTGATGGCTATTGCCCATCACAGATGGGAGCTGGGACATGCACAGGTTACTGGGATATTTCACATAAGCACTTTTACTTGTTGGAGTTTCTCCATTTTGGCTTAATACATTAAAAACTGTATTCTTCACAGAGCGTGCACGTTGTTTCTAATTTTGTTAAAGTCAACATAAAAGCAATATATTATGAACAAAAATGGATTTCATTACATCACTATAGAATATACTTGCATAGCATGATTAGATTACAGGAATTTCTAAACTACTGATGTCCCATCCACTTTCTCCATGTCTCCGTGGCTAGTTGATGACTATATGTATTTTTGCCAATACTCACTATGAAGGGCATCTGTAACTTTGGCTTCCCTTTTTCATGCTCTGTGCTGCAGACACAAATAGGAGTTTCCTTGTTTATATTTTGGCCTAGCTGATTGGTAAAAGACCCCTACTGCACTGGGTTTGGAGTTGAGTGTGAACTTTGTGCTTTGATGGCATCTGCTTGATGTCTAAGGGAAGGCCACTCAGGGGCTGTTGATGCAGAGGTTGGTTTACGAGGTCTAAGGATAAAAACATGGCTCCACGTGGTGTTGGCTGCTCGAGCTCGACAGGACCCGGCCAAGTGTGGCAGCAACATATGAAGATGAATCGCTAGTGTGAAGCAGCACCCCTGCTCACCAGTTTGTCCGGAGGACGTGAAGTCCTGGGTTAGCCACTGAGTCCTCATCTGACAACAGTCTCACAGAGCCAGCCAGGGTTAGCAGGATTCTGTGTCCACATATATTTGTGTGGACAAGGTGTCCTGCCCCACTCCGGGGTTATGAATACCCCCTTGAGGTGGAGGTGGTGTCAGCTTCTATGTAGGTGGAAGTGGGTTGATGGTCCTGGGGACTTTCTTTGCAGCAAATGACAGTGTTAACTGAGGGCTTTTGCATTAAGGTCTCTTATGTTCCTAAGGAGAAAGGCACGCTCGCTATTTTGAGGTACCATGCTTCAGCAGTGCTTCCTTTGTTTGGAATTTGTTTATTCACTTTTTTTTTTAAATTGTGGTAGCGCTCTGGATTAAACCCAGAGTTTTAGACATGCTAAGCAGATACCCCACCACTGAACTATACCGCAGTCTGCCATTGCTGTGAGATAGTGGTGCCTGAAGCTGAACAGAGCTTGATTCACATCTCAGAACAAGTATAAACACTGCCAGCAGGTGTATGCATTTGTTCTCTTGTCATTGACCTCTTATGACAAGGTGTAACTTTCCTCAGGAATTTTGCAAAGATAAAGAATTGAAATGTGCCCCATTTAAAGAACAAGGGACATCATGGCTAGTAAACACTCTGAAAGTTATTAGCAGAAGTGGTGCCTGGTCAGACCAGAGGCACAGCAGCAATAAGTTGCAAGACATGAGCATCATTTCCTGCTGCTGCTGCTGCGGTATCTCCCTGTTGTACTTTGTGTGTGTGTGTGTGTGTGTGTGTGTGTGTGTGTGTGTGTGTGTGTTGGCACTTGGAAATGCACTAGGTCCTTGCATACTCAGGTTGCCTTGGAATGATACCTCTCAACTCTAGTTTTATGCTGGATTTTCTGACCTTTCTACAAAATCACAACAGTGAAACCTCTAAAAATTTTTATTTATATTTTACCTTCTCTTAAAGTGATTCTGGACTTTGAAGCCAAATCTTCCTCTGATTCTCATCCTATTTCACATTCATCTAATTATCTTTATTTTTCATGAGTTTTCAGATGAGAAAGAGAATATGTTATCAAAGGTTCTGAGAACAGCGGGCAGTTTCCTATCCTCCCCTTCTTGTTTGTACTTTGGGACTTGGCTCATCCTCTTTCCTCACGGGGTGCTTTAAGTTTCTCTTCATCTGCTTTTGGAAGACCACCGCCTGTGGGCTGGAATAGAGAGTGCTACTCAAATGCTTGTTTTGGAGATCCTCCACGGGAATCGGTTACTCTAACTCAGAGATGTATCTGTGTGCTTTATACACCCCCTCCTGCATTTCTAGAGTGTGTTCCAAAAGCTGATTACTTGTGTGTCAAGCCACCCCTGCCTTCAGTGCTGTGCTCCCTTCCTGTTCCAGATGTGAGCCTGCAGGTTAATTTATCAACAGACACCGCTAGGATAGTTTCAGGAATACAGGGTCTGTTCTCTCCCGTAGGCATTAGCACTTACAGTCTGGGCTGGGTGCAGGTTCCTTAAACATTGAGCTTCTCTGCGTCTCACCATATTCTGAACTCTTGAATGCTGGGAAGCAAGGAACAGCTTTCCTCCCTTCACTTTACACCCAGCTTGCCACCTGCCTTGCTGGGGAATGGTGAAATCCGCCGTCTGGGCGCCTGGCAGTCGAAGGACGGTTGCAGGCTCTCCAGTACATGCTCTGGTCAACGATGGTGACTTTTTTAATTTTATTTTTTGTTAAGCGGATCTAGCAGCTCCGTGGCCACGATGGTGGGGGCTGTCTGGTCTGTGTAACTCAGAACTTGGGTCTCGGGCTTCAGTTCCTGCTCTTACTGGTCGCGTTCTAGTGTTCAGCTTTGAAACTGTGGCTGATGCCAACTGATTCCCTGTGTTCAAGGTAGCAGGGTGAGAGATGATGGCATGTTGACACTCACTTGGAAAGTAATTGGTTATAGTGCATGCGTTTGTGTTCTTAGACCAGTGGCTCTCAGTTGCTGCCTTTACTACAGTTGCTCACGCTGCTGCCTTTACTACAGTTGCTCACGCTGTGGCGGCTCCCACCCACAGACTTGTTTTCTTGCTACTTTGAAATTGTAATTTTGCTATTGTTACGAACTGCAATGTACATATAACATGCAGGGTATCTGATATGTGACTCCTATGAGGTCAAAACACACAGGTTAAGAAATACTAGTTCAGTTAAATCGTAGCCAGACAATATGGGGCAGTTCTATGGCTGTGCTCTGTATCCCCTTTCTTGTGCCTTAATATACCTTCTCATTTTTATTATTCTTCATTTTTTAAAAGGTAAACTCCCTTTTTTTTCTCCCCCAGAAGCTTGGGACTTCAGTTCAGTTTCACTTGTCCTATTGTGAGTGTGCCCCATGATCCCTGGCATGTGTGCACCCTACTGGATGGCCTGCTGGTCCCACATGCAACAAGGAATTGGGTTTCATATCATTGGGTGCTTGTCTTGCTCAGTTCCCTGTCAGAATCCATTTGAAGTCCTCTGTCCCACCCCCACCTTTTCGGTTAGGATGGATTTTGTTTTCCTCTGCACTTTACAGCACTTGGGTCTATATTTGATACAGTGTTCATTAGTGTCTGAGTTAGGTAATGTTTCTGTCTCTGTGCTGACTGACTCAGGACGGTTAAGAGTGGAACTGGTTGAGGACTGTATCTGTTTCATTCTGTAAACCAGCTACTGTGGCTTTGCTTCTCACAGAGCCGCATGCAGCGAGAGCTTACGGGATTAAGTTAGCATTAAGAAACAAACACGAAGCCATTCCAGGATTCTGCCAAGAGTGCCATAACTAAACAGCGCAGACTGGATGGTCTAAACATTATGTTTTTCTTTCCCTCACAGCCCTGGGACCTGGAATTCCAAGATGAGTATTTGGCAGGGTTGGCCCTTTCCCCTTGGCACACAGACACCACTTCTGCCGTGTCCTCAGAAGGCCCTTCCTTAGGTGCCTGTGTCCCTGGCCATCCTCTGTGCTTCCTCTCATTAGGACAGCAGTCACACTGGGTTAAGACCTGCCTTAATGGCCTCACTTTAACTTCATCACCCCAGCTAATTAATTTTAACCTGATTAAATATCTTGTCAGTAGATATGGTCATTTCCTGAATTACTAGGTCCTAGAGCCTCAGCTGTGAACATTGGGACCGCACAGTTTATCCCATTATAGCCTTGATGTATACGAATGTGAGAACCTGGTGGGAAACATCACCTTCTGCTGTGGGGACCTCATCTTTGTGCTTTCCACTGCACATTTCTCCTATTTGAAAGCCTCCTGTATGGCTCTGTAGTTTTGTTCTTGGGAGGAATGTGGCTGGATTCTCTGCATGACAGCCCATCTGTAACTCATATCAGTTAGAGCCTGGCCTGTTCAAAGGGTGGTTCATGATCAGCAGCATCAGCAACATTTGTGAGAGGGCGAGGAAAGGGAGCCCTCAAGCTGCACTCCACTCCATGTTTCCTGTATTAGATCTGCATTTTAATCAGGTGCCCAGGAGATGGCTTGGTGCCTTCATATTTGAATGCTGACATAAATTTGCCATACTGGGGAAAGATGGAACAATCATGCATTCTTTGCCCTTGGATCCATTGTGCTCTGTCCTGTACTGTGGGGGCTGCCCCCCTCCACACACACATAGAAAGCCCCTTTCCAGGATCCCATGAGCCCATGGGAGATTAAAAACATGTCTAGTGGCAGATCCTTCTTCGTCATGGCCCCATGTTCTGCCAGTAAGGACTAGCCCATGGTGGTTGTGGTTCCGTGGCAACAGGGCCTCCAGAAACATTTCCTCCTCTCTGCCACTTATCTTGTGCTCACTTCCTGTTGCCTGTGGGTGAGTTCACCATCCCTGGTGGCTTTCTAGCAACTCCTTCATAGCTACTGGTAACCACAGAGGCGTGCATGGACTGGTTGCTCTTTCTGGTTTGGTGCATCACGCATCCCAGATGTTTTAGGGCTGGTGACGTTTTTTCAAGCTTTCCTCTAAAAATGCAATTAGAGAATCCTTTCTCCATTCCAGTGCCCCATGCCTCCCTCTTGTTGCTCTTTGTTTTATCAGCTTTGCGCATGTTTGTTTCTCTGTCCAGTTAGGACTACAGCACAGGGCTAGGAGCTGTGTGGCAGATGTCACGGCA